TCTTCTGCAAGGAGGGATCTTTCTGCACCTCGGCCTGGAACTCAGCAGCTGGGACAGGGATGGCCACCTGCTCTCTCTCGCCAGCTGGGTCTGAAGCCGCAGCCTCCCTGAGCCGTGTCCCTGGGCATTCCCTCCCCACCAGGTTAGGGTCCTGCGCCTTGGGCAAGGTACCCTCCCCAAGGCCAGGGCGCAGTGCCCCTCGCCGGCTCTGACTGCGGGTCATGACCAGTGCACCCTGGGGGTTGCTTGGCCAGTCCTCCAGGTCCCCCCCACCCCATCAACACCTCAGTGGGCAAATACAGGGGTACCCCCACGTCCTTGGGGCCCTCCTTGGACTCCACTTCAGGTGTACCCTCGCCACGGGCACTTTGACTGGGGTCCCGCCCACCCCCGTCAGGGTCAGGTAGGTGTTGGGCACCACCCGATGAGGGTCCACCACCTCGGGCCGGGCCAGCGTCACCTCTGCGCCCGTATCCCAGTATCCATTGACCTTCCTCCCATCCACCTCCAGGGGAACAAGGTACTCTCTCCGCAGGGACCGCCCCGCGCCCACCGTATAAACCAAAAACCCTGAGTCTGGAGCATCCAGCCCCCCAGAGGAGCTGGCCTGGAGCTCTCCTCCCTCCTTAGCAGGTGGTACTCTGCCAGCCCCCCTTCCCTGGGAATGCTGCCCCTCGTCCGGCTGGGTCTCTACCCAGTCAACCCTCTGTGGGTTCGGTCTGCTCAGTCTGTCCCTGAGCCTGGGGCACTGGGCCCATAGGTGGCCCCTTTGGCCACAGTGATAGCAGCCCATGTCCCGTGGGTCCCCTCGAGTGGTTTGGATGGACTTGACGTTGGATGTTCCCCTTTGGTGGGGGTTCTCCATATTTCCTCGGTGGGAGGTCCCATGGTGACTCTCTCTCTCTGCGTTGTGGCGGGCCTGTTCCTTTGGGACTTTTCCCTGTTATCCCCTGCCCGACTGTTCACAAACTCGTCGGCCAGCTGGCCTGCGTGCTGCGGTTCTCTGGCTTTTGATCCATCAACCATCGCTCAGGTCGGATGGGCACTGCTCATACATGTGCTCAAGTACGAATAGGTCAAGCAGGTCGTCTTTAGTTTGGGCCCCAGCTGTCCACTTGCGGGCATACCCCTGCGCCCGGTTGGCTAGTTGTAGGTATGTGACCTCACGGGTTTTAGGCTGACTCCAGAACCTTTTCCGGTACATCTCAAGGGTCAGCCCAAACTCGTGGAGCAGGGCCTTTTTGAACAGTTCGTAGTCCCCTGTCTCCCCCCCTTTCAGTCGGCTGTACACCTCTCTGGCTGTGGAGTCCAGTGAGGGGATGAGAAATTGGAGCCTGTCTGCAGGGTTAACCTGGAGCAGCTCGCAGGTATTCTCAAAGGCCGTCAGGAAGGTATCCATGTCCTCCCCCTCCTTACGCTGGGCCAGGAAGCACTTATCAAAGCTCTTTGCAGTCTTGGGTCCCCCCTCGCTCACCGCAGCTGGGGCCCCACTGCTCCTCAGCCTGGCTAGTTCCAGCTCATGCTGACGTTGGTCCCGCTCATGCTGATGTTGTTTTTCCTTCTCTTCCCGCTCCTGCTTCAGTTCTTGCTGCCGTAACTCAAGCTCTTTCAGTCTCATTTCCCTGCCATATTCCAGTCGCATCCGCTCCCGGGACGGGGAGCTCCGCCGGGACGATCCCCTGCTGGCCGCCGGGGTCAGGGTGCCCTCGGTATTCGCTTGGCTTCCCTCAACCCCTCCCCTAGGTATAGGTAGGCAGGGTCTCGGGATGTCCTCGGCAGCAGTCTGCTCCCTCCCAGCCATGTCAGGCCCCGGGGCCCACGCTGCATCCGCCGGGCGGCTTCCCTCAGGGACAGGGCTCGGTTCATCCAAGCGATCCCTCTCCTCCAGCTGGGCAATGAGCTGTTCTTTGGTGGACCTCCCAATGCGCTGCCCCCTCTCCTTGCACAGCTCCACCAGGTCGCTCTTAAGGCGTTTAGCATACATCCTCCTGCTGGCTACTCGCCGGCCTGTGCTCTCCGCTTTCCACCGTTCCTGGGGGACCCCTAGTGTGCCAGCCCTTCTTCAGGTCACCACCTCTCTGCCAGGGTCGAGCTGCAGACTCCTCCGCCCCGGGACCGCTTGCTGCGACCCCCCAGGGACCCTGTTACTGCAACAGTTCTTCTCTCTGGTCACACACTCCCAGGGGTTAATCGCCCCCTGAACTGTCTCTCTCTGACTCTTCAGCCCACCTGGTCCCTGTCGATCCCCCTTCATTTTACTGTTCCCCAGTCACTTTCTGCAGGAAGCGCCGTCCACGGGGTGCAGTAGATCCCACTTCTGCCACCAGTTGTCACGGAGTGTGCGGGGACAAAGGGCCCGGCACACCCGGCTTCCTGCTATTCACCATGACTCTCAGCCAGCCAGTAAAGCAGAAGGTTTATTTAGACGACAGGAACACAGTCCAAGACAGGTC